GCCTGATGTGTTCAATCCCAAACACTCAAACACACCGAATGACTTTAATTACACCCGAGCACATCGAATACCCACAGACCGTCCACTGCAAATCTATCAAGAAGCCGCTTGTGGTCCTCACGGAAAGCGGTCATGTCATCGTAAGCCTTTTCGAGCTTCCTGGGCGTGTTGGCCTCGCGCTTCTTTCGAACGTTCTCCAGCTCAGACCGGGCATCTGCCAGGGTGGCCTTCTTGCGCTGCTTGTTGAACTCCTCGTCGTGCTTTTTCAAGACGCCCGAAAACTCACCCGCAAAGGCCGAGTTCTCGAACTTGGACATCAAAGCCTCAAGCACGATCAGGTCACCACCCACAGGCATGGTCACGAGGTACTCGTAGTCCGGCCGTGAGCTGTCCGTGTGCACTTTGCCCAAGTCGGCCAAGGCCGCGGTGAAATCGGGGAAGCCTGCAATGTTCAGCTGCTTCGTCTTGGCCCGGCCAAAGAAGTCATGAAGGAGCACCTCCTGTCCAAATCTTACAGACTCTAGATGAACTGTCCAATCCGGGATGATACCTCAACCACTAAAACTAAAACTGGTTCAACCCCTTCCTTGGTGAACTTGTACTCGATCTCGGAGTGAGCCACAGACCCGCATGCAATAGAATGGTTTTCCATGTGCAGCTGCAAACATGCAAGTGGAACCCATCCATCGTGCGCGAACAAGTCGACCACCACAGTCTTGCTTTTGGCAACCTCCAGGCTCGCCAAAATCTTCTTGATCACCCCCGTTCCACCAAGGTGCTGGCGGAGCTCCTCATGTCTGGTATCTACAAACACATCACTGCCATCTCTACAAACACATCACTGCCATCATCTCTGAGTCTGTCATTGCAAGTCACACGAAAGACACGGGGACAGACGGACTGCAGCCAAGTCCTGCGTGCGGGACAAGCGGTCCGTGTCTGCAGAAATCTTGCGGCCCACCTCCACTTTCAGCATGTCCTCAGAACACCGACTCATGACACCAAGTTTAAATCAGTCCACACCGGCACATGGGTACAAAATGCAGGCAAACAACACTGCGCGGCAACATCGGAATCTTGTCCACGATGAGACGCTTGAACAAGCTCTTGCGGGGCATGGCAGTCGAAGATGAACTCGTGATCAGCCACGCCTCGTGGAACGCAGCTCTTTGCCCGTAGACGCTCGCCTCATCGAAGATGAGTGTCAAGCTTCGCACCGACAGCTGCCTTGCCGGCTCCTGCAACAAGACCTGCAGCTGGTACTTGAAGTCGCGAAGGGACGTCGCGGCCTCCACATCGATGGCCTTTTCGGGTTCATCATCCTCCCCTTCCTCGGCCTCCTGGGTCTCCTCCTTCACGTCTTCATCCTTCCTAGGCTTACTCAACTCCCAAACATACACACACACACACACACACTCTGTCTCTCTCTTCTCTCTCTTTCGCTGTCTCTGAGTTGGAACAAGACTCGAAGCAGGCTTCCTGCCCAGGTAGCTCTCATCACATGCCCGGTTTGGCAAAATGACCACTCCCACAAAGCTGTTCGGATGATGGGCAGCGGCATTCTGTAGTGACTGCACGAGAAAAGTCTGCTTCGCGGAGCTCACCACTCCCTGCGCCACCAAATTGGCAACGTAGACGATCATCTCCGAGGATGCCGAACGCACCCCACCCTGGAGGCCTGCCAAAGCCTCTGCCAACCATGGTTTCACAAGTGGCTCCATTGGCGGGCTTTCGAAATCACGTTCACAGCCTTGCCGCTTCTTCGGCGTCAAGTTGAACACCGGGAAAGCATCATCACCAAATCGCCGCACGTGTGTCCAGGCCGACTTGTGCAGAGACTGAGGGTCAGTCATCTAACATTAGGACCAGCTACAAAACCAAGACATCACATTGACTGGTTCGCAAAACAGCTCGGGACTGGTTCGCAAAAACTGCTCGGGACTGGTTCGCAAAACAGCTCGGGACTGGTCCGCAAAACAGCTCGGGACCGGTTTGCAAAACAGCTTGGGACTGGTTCCCAAAACAGCTTGGAACTGGTTCGCAAAACAGCTTGGGACTGGTTCGCAAAACAGCTTGGAACTGTCTCGCAAAACAGCTTGGAACTGGTGTACAGGATCAGCTTGGGACTGGTTGGCCAAAGAGGGCCAGCTTCGGACTGTTTCAAGGGAGTCAAGAACCTTTAATCTCCGGCCTCCAACATTGAAACTGCAGCCTGGCGCTTCCTTTCCGAGTCACCGGATGTTCTCAGAAGTTCCCTTGGCTGCTACAACGAAAGTTTCTCGGGCACACACGCACACACACACACACACATCACACATCATGCAAACTCATATAGAAAAGGTGCGCTCGAAAGAAGCTCTGGTCTTGCTGCAGCTGGCTCAGGAACAAGTCAAAGGCTGACTTCTCTGCCACACGCAAAGCATTCTGAACAGTTGCCTGCCCTTTCTCCATGAACTGATGTTGCATGTTTCCCCGAGCTTCCAAGAAGAATCCCATCTTCTCCGGGTTCCACGCTGGATCCCGAACTCTCAGAGCTCCACGAAGTTCCATATCCAGGGTCCTCAGTTGCAAAGGCGACTTGTAACTTCTTGTCAACTGTGACGCCCACACAAAGCATCGACCATGACTCGTCACATTTGCCACATGCACAATTGCCCGCTTGCACACACAGACACACATGCAGAGCTCTTTCATTTCGCATTCTGGTAAGCAGCAGCATCTGGAGTCGAAGCATGCTAATTTGACGAGACTGATAGGTGTGGGAAATACTACATGTAATCTCAGACCCACAACTATGGTCGCAAGGAGTATGACGACTTCAATCTGCTGGAATCACGCAATACTGCTAGAAACCGACCACCATCTGGAAGGATACATTCTAAATGACAAACTACATATTATCCCAGTGCCTTGCAGACATAGAGCGAATTTCTTTTATCTTAGTCAATTACAGAAATTCAATGTATTTTCCGGCTCCGGGATCTGGTTCCTAGAAATACATTGAATTCTGGATTTCAATGTATTTGTCTCTTTTGCGGGCACCACCAATGTATTTTGCTGGTCCTGGATCTACATCCTAGAAATACATTGAATGGTTTTTGCTTATCAATTTATACATTGAATCCTGGATTTCAATGTATTTTCTGGCTTTGGCTTGAGGGCCTCCAAAATACATTGAATTTCTCCCTAGTTGGTGGTTGTAGCATAATCAGTGTATATCAAAACCAAGGGATCGGGCTCCGAGAATACATTGAATTTCCCCCACTCTGGCTGCCTGACGAATGCATCGAATTTACAACGGCTCAGAACATTCATTCATAAGCCCGACAAACAGTTTGTGTCATGGCATCTCAGCACCGACGGTCCTCTAGTGACATTCGAGAAATCTCGTGGCTTTGAACGACAACCTGGAGCCGCCTGCCCAATCTGCGGGCTGATGCCCAGACCTGAATGGGAACACAAAGCTATTTCACTGATTGGAACTTCAAGAGTTTTTACAACACAGAGGGACACCACTCGAAGTTATAAACTCAAGCAGCGGCACTGACTTGCTCAAGCTCTCCGCAAGACGGTAGATCTGTGGAATGCTGTATATCCCAAGCTGGACGAAATCAATAGCAGTTTCACAGTCGAAGTAACCTTTCGGAAATTTCTCTTCTGGCGTTCTCGGCCTTCGCTTTCTCCCACCGTCGTTCGATCCTCGTGCCCCTTCTGCCATGATGGTGGCCAGGATGCAAGTCTACGACCGTACTACCAAAGGCACTTAAGCCAGGACAGCTAAGAAGCGCAAGTCAGTCCACCCCTCAAATGAGATCAAGCCGCGAGGCTGGGCCTACAAGCGATAATCAAGCCCAGGCTCCCCATCTCCCAGGCATCCAGCAGCTTCTGGCTGCCACTGCCCAAGGTTCGCTGCATCATCGGAGTCAGCCACTCCCACAAACAGCACATCTCCATCAGCTCTTTCAGCTGATCATTGCCCAGCTGCGCTGATTTCTGCCAAGGGATTCAGTTGCACTATGTGTGATGTTAAAAGCAGTCCTAAGGCAGAGGACAAACCAGTGCTTCACAAAAACCCAGCCTGCGTGCGCACACTCGTGTCAGGGGGGGCCTTGCTTCTGTGGGCCGCAGTCACCCGCTTCACCCAAGTGATCGTGGCAGTCTCGGTGACCTCCTTGTGGCGGGCTGTCAGGGTTGGGTAGGGTTAGGGTCGGCGTTGACTTTGGGGATGGATGGGGGGTAGGGGTTGAGGGGGAGGACTGGAAGTGGCTTGCTGGGGCGCATCGCGCCGGAACAAGATTACGACACAGATCGCTGTTGCACGGGGAAGGATATGTATGGTCTTTCAAGCAGACCCGTCTCAATGAGTGCGCAACCAAGCAGCCTTAATTCCAGACGTTCAATAGGGAATCCCGTAACTCATGGAAACCAACCTCGAAAGTACCCATTGAAGGAACCTTAATCTCAACCGCCGATCTACACACACATCTACAAGCGCGCACAGACAAGCATAGCACGAACAACCATAATCAAAGCTCACCTATCATTTGGCTGCAATTGAGAAACCAGGATCTCTGGCCATCTCCCCTTGTCAGTCTTCGCGAGGTTGGTCCCAGGGACGTAGAAATCGCCAGCAAGGTTGTCCAACGTCAGAGCTGATAGGGAAGAGCGACAAAATGTTACAATGCACAAGTTTCTTGCTGAGTCGGAGTGCCAAAGCAAATCCCCAGCCTGCATTGAAGTGCCGGTAGTCGCTGTACATGGTCATCAAACTTTCTTTGAAGACCAAGGGGCATCGGACAACGTTGTAGATGATCTTCACAGTCTCCTGCTTGATCTTCTGCCCCTGTCAAACATTCGATATCATGCCCAAACAAACCAGGACGGAGACATATGAGGGTATGGCACCGCTTAGTCGACGAATCCTGAATGTATACTTAATATCACATCACACTTCGGGCTGAATGAGAACTCTTCTTTCCTTCCGTTGGATCACCCAGATTCCGAGCAGAGCTTATAAGATGTAGACGGATCCCTGCCCTGGCCTTCCCGACAACCTTATTGTAATCCTGGACGCAGAGGTTGAGAAGGTCACGAGTCGATTTGGCTCCGAGGGACCTCTTCTTCAAACGAATCGCCTCGCTGAACACACTGACCAACTCCATCGGACTCGCCTGCTGTTTCTCTCCCGTCCGCTGGGTGAGCGCAAGAGCATCGTACAAGTACTCTTCCTCGCGATCGTGCCTCTTGAAGTTGCCCTTAAGATACTTCAGCGAGGCCACACACGTTGCCATGCTCTCGTCCCCGGCCAAGTCCTCCGGTGTCACCTCCTCACATGCGAACTGAAACTAAAGTCACACATGCACGCACAGCAAAAAAATAAAAGCAGCCACTGAAGTTCTAATATGTGCAACCAAGCAGTCCAGCTTGTGCATCAGCGCAAAGATCGCCTGGACACACAGGCTTTTCGTAAAGCCATCGACCAGTTTCACACTGAAAATCTCGATGCCGTCCACGAAGGGCATGGTCCCTCAATGGCGAAATGTAAAATCTTGCAAACACAAACTAACTCTTCACGGAACGTCGCACACTAACTGCTGTCCAAATATCCTTTCTCCGCAAGAAACCTCACGTCCAGAGGCTCCCTCGAAGCTTCGAAGCCAGCGGTGAGGATCGAAACAAAGTGAACACGTAGTGTGCACATGTCCGGGTACTTGCAGCTCTGGCCTCACAAGCAAGAAGCAGTTTTCGCAGACATTCCACAACACACTGTCAATCGAACAGCAAGTGTGAACATGTCTAGACTGGGTGGTCCGAAAATGAAGACAAGCAGCCATACTTACACTGGCGCGAGTAATCGATCATCCAGGGATTCAGCCAAAAGTCCGTCTTGGAGTCTGTAGGAACGTGGTTGATCGCCCGGTGGGACTGCACATGCTTGGCCACATCCGGAAGGCCCACATAATGCAGCATGACCTCGGATGCCCGCCCAGAGTCGATACACATCATGTCACGGCACCTTACACCAACCCTCCGTCAGCCCACCTTGGCAAATTCAGTTTGGCCCTCCTGCGAGTGCGGGAACCAACGCGCCATCATGTCACCAATGTGGGCCTCTTTGGCGGCCTCATCAGGACCAAAGTCGGGGGGGAAACTGCTAGGAAGCATGCTAGCCGACAGTGTGAAATCACATTGTGTTATTATGTCACACGAAGCACAACCAGACCTCCAAGAAAGCAAGCTCGATCTTGTCCTTGATCGTATATGCCATGGCCGGGGACGGCCCGGGCACTGCTGCAGCATCTGCTTGCGAAGCCGGAGCACTAGCATCGGGATGACCAGCCTTGGCATCCCATTCTGTCTTCACCTCCACAGCAGCCATTGACGACTGCAGTCGTCCTTTCAGGACCCACTGGCAAACTGCTGAGCTGAGCCACAGCTCGTCAACTGTTGCATGATGGATGCTGTTCTATGCCACGTGCACACTCAGGCGGCAACATGAGAAGCACACGACAACGGCATCTCAGAGGCACATTTACGACACCACACGCCCAGAAGTCCTGTCTGTCCTACACACGGTGAAACTGAACCCGCAAGTTGTGCACATCATTCTCTAGCGGATTGGGAAGGTTGATTCGGGGCACACCCCTAGCCTGCACATTTTGGGGATTCAAGAACGAAAGCCCAGGAAGTCGTTCCTGGTGCATGGCAACTTCTCCGGCCAGTTGCCGGAGATAAACAATCCCTCGGGGGTACTGTCGGGGATAACGCTTCTCCAACCATTCTGCCAGATCAGAGAACTCATCTATCTTCGGCTGCTCCAAGCCACGTGGAAGGCCTCGGCTCAAGCACATTCAATGCCTCACGGGAAAAAGACGACTCACTTGCAAACACCCAGGCCGCAAACTGCACGACCAGGTGCAACACAAACAAACCGACGAACCTGCAGTCATGCAGCTGGCACAGGCACCTGTAGATAGTCGTCTCCAAGCAGCCACGACTTGCGGCAGCGCCGCTCCCGGAAAGACTACCAAAGCCTTTTGACTGACATCCATGTCACTGATGTATCGCTTCACATAGCAGAAGACATCCGCGTCGTTCTTGGGATATCTTCGAGGTAGGTTCTCTTTGACATCACGAAGCAAAGCCTGAGGCAAACCTTGGTTTCTTCGCATAGCACACGGAAGCAGGAAACCCTAGACAATTAATACCGGGTCTCACGCACAACCTTTACAGCTCTCAGATTTGGCCCAAGTGTCTTTCTCTCCGCACAAAAGTGAACGAGTGAGGAATCACTTTGTTGCTGTCATCATCATGTTTCCTTTTCCGAAATATGTTGTAAATCTTTGCAGAGTCAGGGAGTTCGTTGCGGAAAGCGCGGATGTTCGTAACATGCTCAACATGAATGTCTTCGGGCCGGTCTTCAAACAGACGCTGCAGCTTCTTCTTCAGGAATTTCACCACATCCTCAGGGCATTGCCTGAGATGGCACCCCATCCACACAAGAAGGCTCCTACACCTTCGTTCCAAATACCTACTATTGCTGCCGGCAAACATATCTACACCAGCATGACTGATCATCGACGTCAGCAAGCCAAAGAACGCATCTTAGTTGCCACAGACAGGGCATGGCATACAAGATGAAGGTTCGATGTGACATGCCACTTTTGTGTTAGACATGGCATGCATGGCCTAGCATGATCCAACTGGGCTCCTTACCCACATCCTCGTGCGTATGCCCGACGGGTAGGTGCTTCAAGCTGCATGATGTAAAAATAGAGGCGGCAGTCATGGCTGAAAACACCCTGCTGACACAGGTGTTGCGCAATTCACGAGATGTGTTGTCTCCAAATAGGATGCAGTGCGCCGGAAAAGGCTGGCCAGTCTGCTGTGACTTGGTCCACTCTCTCTGAACAGCTCTCGTCCAAATCTCCATGGCCCAGTCGGCACCGGTGGTTTGGTTCTCATCAGTTATGAAGATGTTCACGGATCGCCCGTGCAGGATAACAGCATACACATCAAGCGACGGGCGCACCCTCTTGTCCGCCCCTTTTGGCGTTCTCAGATTGTGCCAGCGAGGTAGGGCGTACTTTGCACGGTCCATGCCATCCACGATTCCCAGCAAAATGTCTCGGTGTGTGAGTACCTTTATGGCATGGAAAGTTCAGCTTCAGGTCCTAATGTGTTTGCTTGTTAAAGACTCATAGAAACCCATTCTGTTGATTTTGCTGACAAACAGCTCTTGCTCGAAGGCTTGCATATACTTTGCGGTCTGCAAACATGCCAGCCAAATGCCGATGATACTCATCACAGAACTTGGCATGTTCCACGAAGTCTCGGGAGTGTGCAATGGCAGCTTTCAGTCGATGGCATATTGCACATTGCGTGTGTTGTGTTTTGTTCCTGAACCGCAGGATGCGCTCATAGCCTGATGTTTTGAATGCCCTGTAAAATGTTTTGATCGATGCCACTTTGACACCAGCCGACATACAGGACGACATGTATAAATGATACAGATCCGAACGCTTGCCTGGCGGAAGATATTTTTTCGGAAGATGTTTGGGAGGCAATATTCCTTGCAACTCGTCCTGCAATGCCACATCCAGCATGCATCTGAGAATGTCAGCTTGGTACTTATCTGTGGACAGCATGTCGCCAGTCAGCCCCTCTTTGATTTTCAGCCTGCTGAGACTGTTGAATGAAAATCACAGCTTGCACAAGGCTGCCACACAGTACTCTAAGCTTAGGTCTTTATGCACACACTTCCAGCCAAGGACGAGTAGCTCGTGTGGCAAGGGCTCGGCTATGCCCCAGTAAAGTTTTTCGATGAAGGCGACACAGGATGCGTACATTGGACTCCACGAGGTTGGCTGGCCTTAGCATAATAAGTCTTAGCATGTAAACTGGACGTCTTCATGCGAGAGCAGGGAGCAGCAAGGCATCCAAACCCGACTGTACATCAATGACCATTAGCGGCCCAAAACTAAAACCGACCAGGCACGAAACTTCCTCATATCCTGTCCCCGAAATGCAGAGCGGCATCGAACAAGTCGGCTTGCCGAAATACCCAGGATCTTGACGAATGCAGCTCTGCAGACTTTGTGGCCTGGCCATTACAGACAATCACAGCACAAAGGCAAACGGCTGCACACAGGCTTCACTGCTTGACAACCACCCCACCTTCAAGGTACCAAGCCACTTTTCTGACGGACTTTGATGATGCACTCGCAGAGCTACCATCACTGCCACTGCCACTGAAGCTCTCATCTTCCTCAGATTCATCCGGAGGTGTCCAAATTGGATGTTGAAGGCTCCAAAGCAGCGAGTCCTGCCCAGACTTCGTCAGCGACCAGAACGCAGACACCAAGGCCATGATCGATCTGAACCCAAGCCTGCGCTTGCACTGCCGGCGGCAGCACCGAGACTGCAAAGCCCTCCGAACACGCTTCTCCGACTTACCATTGCACTGGTAAGCATCCTCGGAGCCAGAGTCTTCCTCGCCGAACAAGATCTGGTTCATGGAAAAACTTGCAATCCTTGGCTCGCTGGACTCTGACCCGCCATCGCTGGATTCTGAGCGTGACCCACCATTGGAGTAGGAAGAGCCGGATTCTCCATCATAGGACGAGGAGCTGGATTCGTAATCTGAACCAGAAGCAGCAGAACCGGATTCGTCCGACTCAGAAGTCGAGTTTCCTGGTCTCTTTCGCTTCACCATGATGTCTCGCAGCAACCCCTGGCTTTCCAGGTGATGTCTCGCAGCAACCCCTGGCTTACGAGGTGATGTCTCGCAGCAACCCGTGGCTTTCAAGGTGATGTCTCGTAGCAAACCCCGGCTTTCGAGGTGATGTCTCGTAGCAGTAGCAGTCACCGGCTTTCACAGTGATGTCTCGTAGCAATATCTCGCCATTGTGTCACACACAGAGCACGCGGGAGTAGCAATCCTAAACTTCGGGTACACATAGACATCCTACTACAGTACACAGAAACTCAAGGTACTGTAACTGTACTGTTAAGTTTATGTAAACAACTTCACTGAATCTGAAGTGATGACTCAGTCTGAAGGGAACCATAGCTGGACTTTGACATGGAAGAATTGACTCAGTCGGAAGGAAACATAGCTGGACTTTGACACGCTGCATCACAGATCGTCGTGCTCTTGAGAGCAATCTCGAACAAGAAGCTGACACCGGCGGTTCAACTGAAGGACCCACTGCTTTGTGCATCGTGATATTGAAGCTCATGCTGCACACAGCAACTGAAAGCAGCTGGTCACACGCACACACATCACTGACACTCTGTCTGTCTGCCTGTCACTTTCTCTCTCTCTCTCTCTCTCTCTCTGTCTCTCTCTCTCTCTCTCTCTCTCCCTCTCTTTCTCTCTCGCTGTCTCTCTCTCTCTCTCTCTCTCTCACTCTCTCCCTCAAGCCTTGCTTCTCGTGAGTCTCATGTGGCTGACGCGTGCGACCTGCAGTAGCCTGTTTCCCGACACCACAGACCGGAGCACTTCCATCATGATTCTGCCCGCTCACATCCATAAGAGTCGGTCCTCAGAGACACAAGACTTCACTTCCATGCAGCAACCAATAAATTAAATATCCAGTAGGTGCAGCATGTGCACGCTAAACTTTTGCAGGCCGGAGCACTTCCAGCATCGATACCCACTCATAGCCATAAGGATCGGTCCTCAGAGACATGAACACTAACTTAAGCTGCATCGAAAATCAGCCCCCAACAACAAGCATATGCACGGCAGGAATTTGCAGACCCGAGTACTTCGAGCCATTCAGCAGCATAAGACTGGCTCCTCAGAGACATCAATACAAACTTCGCCGTTACATGATCCGCAAGACACAGCATGTGCACTTTAGACTTCTGCAGACCAGAGCGCTTCCATGTCCCACACACCATGTGCACTACGGGATTTTGCATACCGGTCCTCAGACAGTCAGAGACATAACACAAACTTCACCCGACCCAGGAGACACAACATGTGTGCAAGAGGCTTTGCAGACTGGAGCATTCGAGCCAGGCCACTCATCACCAAAAAGACTGGCCCTAGAGACACTAACAGGAACTTCACCCGACACGCAAGACACAGAATGTGCACAACAACTTGTTTCGCATGCCAGAGCACTTCCAGCCACTCATAGCCATAAACGCGACTCCTTAATAAGCCACGACAAAATGATCTTCAAGAAACGACATGTGCACTACAGGAGTTTGCAGACTGGAGCACTTCCAGCCATTCATCCTGAAAAGAGTGGGTCCTGAGAGCCGGCAAAACAAACTGCACCCGACAAGAAAGAAGAAACATGAGGTTTTGCATACCGGAGCACTTCCAGCCACTCATCGCCATAAGACTGGGTCCTCAGAGCCAGTGTAAAATCTTCACCGACCCAAAAGACACCGCATAGGCACAAGAGGCTTTGCATACCGGAGCACTTCCAGCCACTCATGGTCATAAGACTGGGTCCTCAGATCCAGTGTAAAATCTTCACCCGACCCAACGGACACAGCATAAGCACAACAGGGTTTGCATACCGGAGCACTTCCAGCCACTCATCGTGATAAGACTGGGTCCTCAGAGCCCGTGATCTTCACCCGACCCAAAAGACACAGACAGCATAGGCACAAGAGGCTTTGCAGACCGGAGCACTTCATCGGCCACGCGCATGGATTTCCTCCTGGAGCCGAGTCAAATCCACGGCGCTGAAAGCGCCAATCCATGCCAGCGCTGCAGATCGCACATTCATCGCCTCAATCAAACAATTGCCAGGCAGCCGGACCAAGACACTAGATACTCACTGTCACGTTGCAGCTGGGACACATTCCCTGCCAGCCTCCGCAGGTCCTGGAAGTGCGAGGTGGATAGGATTTTCGATTCAATATGGGTTCGGTGTGCAGAACGACAACCGATAGAATTCGAGAGCTATCTTTGGGGCCCCAGCTAGTCTCTATGTAGGTCATCACATCTGAAGGATTGAATCATGATACCCTAGTCCATCATGTCCCCGGCACGCACGTGATACGGCCAAGCGCATATTGCGAAGGATGCGAATGCATTCTGCGGCACCAAAAGGCAATGACCCGAGTGCGTTACATGACCAACACAAGTAAGAGCGGAGCCTACTAAGCTCTGCAGTACCACAACCGAAGTGTGACATAAATAGTTAGAGTTGTTACATTATTAGTATGATTTTTGTAAATCTTCTTTTAACCGACGATGCGCCTCAAGTCAAGTCAATCTCAGTCGGTTTCATCAGCAGATTGCAGCAACAACGCAGCCGCAAGAAGGAGTCAGCTTGGGACTGGTGTCGCCGAATTTATTACCAGCACTTTGGCTGGTAAACTAAATTGAAGTCGATATCAGAGTGAATTAACTCATTCGGACCCTTGAATCTCGATGAGCCAAAAACTGCTGGCAGCCACATACCCCAAAACCATCAGAATCAGTCATACTTAGAACACAGGGTGTCCCAGATGCATGACGAAACCCTCGAGCTACCTCAGGCTTGAAGTTCTACCAACCAGGATCTATAATGAAGCTAAGGTCGATACCTTAGTGTGACCTGGTCCATAAAACAAAACCAGCCGAATAGCTTTCAACATCAGGTTAGAGCTACATAGGTAATTTTTGCCAGCGGCCATCATATAGTTATTTAGGCAACACAACGAATGTCAAGCACAACATAACAAATGTCGAGCACACCATAATATAGCCACCTGCCAAATCGACAATACCCAGAACTGTCTTCCGAGGCACTCTGAAGAGACCGGAAACACGAAATGATGCCCCTGCAAGCACAGCCGTGAAAAGACCTCGAAAACCACACTGCCAATAGGAGAACTGTAAATGAATCTAACCCACCAATCAGCCGACTTCATCCCGTTTCAACTATCCAACCGCCGGCCCAGCCCTATGAACTCTCAAAGTCCACTCGAGACACACTGAACACAGACTAAATCACTGAAAGCTGACTATCATGCCACCAAACCAGGAAGACCCAGATACTCGACCAGCCGAACCCTGAATGCTGCTTCCAGAGCCCACGACGATACCGTGAAAACCAAACGATGAACTAGCAAAGATCCGAAACCCTCAGCCGGGGCGGGTGGGTGTAGCCGGATGAGTAAATGTTAATTTCATGAAACTGGGGTCCAACTTAGCGAAGGGAACCCCGTGTCTCAGAAACCCAAGAAGCTACAGACCACCAGAACCATGGAGAATGACACCACATAACCAGCATCATCAGACTTACAAGTTCATAACGAGTTGCTTAAGCCTATGTGCCTATGTTATCTACTACTTATTGATCACATATCACACCCGAAACATAGCCTGACCGGTCGACTGAAAACCCACCCGAGCACTACAAGATCGGCCCACTACTGTGCACATTAAGTCGAATCTACATACATTAATACCCATACCACAATGCCGCCAGCACTGATGCATCGGAACTCACCAAATCCGGCTGATCAGGAATACGACCCCGGTCCTTGTCGCACAACCCATAGAGGTTGAGCTTGGACACATCGAAGTTTTGAAACATCAGCATCTCCATGCCTGCGCGCAACCATGATCATTTCTATATCCAAGTAACTTACCACTGCACAACAAAAACACTTGATTCCTGGCCTGTCAAACACCGGCCACGGTGAAGCAAGTACATACAGCTGGAGGGTGTAAGGCATGGTACCCAGCGGTGCGCCACGTGCATGCGGTTGATCATCTGGCTCACATTCACAATCTTCGGCTGGTCCTGCCCGTGCATTGTCGATAGGATATCGATTGCCTTAGCTGCCACAGTCAAGGGTCGTTGCTCCCGTTTTGTCTTGACGAGTGACTGATTGCAAACGACTTAAAGTCCAGAGTGCGTGCTGTCTCCGTTGGTCCGGAAAGGCCGCACGGGCAAAGTCCGACTTAACCAGCTTCCTCGGATTCACCTGGTAGAGAGTGGTGCAAAATGGTGAAGTAGGGAGCTCCTGCACTCGGGCCTTGTGGTCCTTCATAAACTTGAAGTGAATCGAAGGCCATCGCAGTCCTGTGTCATGAGGCCTCAAGAGTTCTGACTGGAATTGATTGGGGGGTGACATGACAGGTGTCAGGACATGCAGCACCTAATCAAATGCAAGGCCGAGCTTCTCATAGCGCAGATCCAATTGGGTTTGCCTCCTTCTCTTGATCGGCGGCTCCTGGACCGCATCGGAGTCGTCCAATAGGAGTTTATGCCAGGGCGTCGGCGGGGTGCAGTTCCTCTTAGCCTTTGTGAGGATGGAGTTCACGGCATTCTGCAGCTTCGCATTCGAGGAGATTTCAGGGGCTGCCACGCTCCTGCTTTGGGGTTTATGGAATGGGGCAGTGTCTCACATGTTCCAGTTTAGGTACGAATAACAAGATGATGCAGTGTCCTCAGAACGCCGATGAAATACAGCCGGGGTCGGCTCACCACATCTCCTATCTCTTTGGCGTCAATCTCCATGATGGCATGATAGTAGTCTCTGAGCTTGTGCAACTCTTCGTTCACTGCCCCGAGGCATCTTTTGATCCCCCTCACATTCTCAAGGATATAGATGGGCACCCGAAGCCTCAGCACACTCTTCCATTCTCGTTGTTTCCGTTTTAGAGGCAACCAGCTAAACCGAGCCAAGGGACTCGCCGATGGTCTTGACGATGGCGAAGAAGGGCTTTGCAGCCTGTGGGCTGCCCGACAGCATCGCATCTCGATTGAAGACTGTTTTAGCCTAAACTTGCCCCACCCATACACTAGAATTCTGAGTCCTCTTCGTCGAGGAGATCGCTGTCTCTCCGAAGCACACTGAACCTGAATCCGATTTGCGCTTCATGGACTGCTGTTGGGACTGCTGCCGACATGTCAATGTTGCAACAAAACAGGCTTCGACCAAGCAGCGGTTGGCAGGGGAAGCCGGCGATGAGGGCACCGCTTCGGTAGTTCTCAAGCTGCAACTTCCGGTTGCAAACATCCGGGTAGAACCTCATGTGACAATCAGCTGGGAGTTATCATAGTGCCACATTTATCTAGCCCTTAGTAGCACAGCAGAACAAGACTGAGGCATGCAAAGTAGCACACGCGGGCGGAAGTTGTGAGCGAGGAAGTCCGTTGCAATGCAGTTAATCTCGGAGGAGCTGATGTGGTCTACCTCAGCAGTGATTTGTCATTGTTTGCATTTGATTGTTTTGGACTGCACCCATTTGAGACTAAATCGTCCTGGCCTTGATCCCCAGCGCTTGCAGAGCAAGAATGCCGCCTTCGGCTCCAGAGCCTCAAAATCGGTCAATCAATGATCCAAGCAGCCCTGACGAAAACAATAACCCTTGAAACCCGGCAGCACTAAAGTGCACCATGCATGATACCACATACAAGGCACAATCGGACATCACCGGGAAGTCGTAGTTGAGGAATTTTTTCACCCTTCCCAGCATTCCTGGGTTTATTATGCGGCTATGCAAATCGGTGGGAAAAGAGCTCGCACCAGCATGCACGATGTAGCCCAGTGTCCGGTGCGGCACAACATCGAGTTTCCCCAGCCAGAAACATAGTTTCGCTGTGCACGGTTCAGTCTCTGGGAGATCACAGGGTCTCGCCTAAGCTCTGAATGAAGCAATCAATGTCAGCGATAAGTTCAGCAAACACAAAGTAATTCAATTGCTGAGTGGCCTTGCACGGTCACAAGCCTCATCCCAGTCTGGTAGAGCGGCATCACTGGAGCTGGAGTCGAAGCACACACTGTACTCTGAGTACTCCGTGTCCGAAGAACCACTGTAGCCCGATCCCGAAGTCCCTGGCCCCTCGAGGTCTGTAGACGTCGTTTCCGACTCCGAGCTCTCTAGCGCATCCGGGTCTGTAGTCTCCGAACTCGACATGGCGGAAGGAGGTATCTAGATTTTGCAGTTCATGGCATGCATGGACGTCTCTAGTGCAATGCTCGAGTGCCAAGTCCCTTGCTGCAGCCCTAGGGTTGCTAGATATAGGATGGCGCCGGGGGCTTCGAATGGGATCTCAGGCGCTACGCATCGAAACGGTTGATGATACAAATCCTGCATTACCTTAGGGTCCTTAAACTATGCAAATTAAGGTATTCCAGTATTATGTGTAATGCAGGCTTTGTATCATCAACCGAATCGCAGAGCAAATGTGTATGACTTCCTAGAACATGAATGCTGTCCCTGGAGCACACTCGCCTCTCGGCCGCCCGTGTTTGCCCGACTCTCAACTGAACCCCAAGCTTTAAGCCCCGAAATCCCCTATGGTAAAGCCTCTGATCGGAGTCTCGGTTATGGCTGGCCAGAATCCCGAATAAGACGGCTGTCCCCTTTTAGGGGTTTAGGGTTTAGGGTTGAGGGTTTAAGGTTGTATAAGAGCTTCAAGGGATGAGATGGTGGGGTGATTTTTAAGAGCTTCGCAAAGGTTTTGGGATTAGGGTTAAAGGCTTCATAGGAGCCCTTGGATTCTTTATGGATTGGGCCTGAGGGTGTCGCGATGTACACGGGCGCGTCAAAAAAACCAAAGCGTGAACCCTGAAGATCCCGCACCGAAACCCCAAAGTGGCTCACACCAATGCCTGAAGCCTCAACCGACAGCAACCCATGCAGACCCGGCTTCGTCAAGGCGGCTCAGGGTTCCGGGGTCTCAGGATGTACCTGTACCTAGAGTCTCCATTGTAGCTGCTTTTTGGGGTTACCTTATAGGATCCTACTTATATAATTGGTTAAACCAAAAAAAGGAACTACAATGGAGACTATAGGTAGTCTCCAGTGTAACTTCGGAGTTTGGACCCTGCTTCATAGGACATTTGACAAAGCTCCAAAAGAAGCCGTCTGAGTCCAAAGCCCTCCAGCCCTCCAAAGAAACAGCTGGAGCGGGGATTGTACCAGAAAAGAACCGGTAAACCATGTTCTTGCTATATTGGGCTTCGAATGTAAGCCCTGTGTGTAATCGGCTGCAAAACGTGAAAGGATCCCCGATGCAGGCCCCCATACAGGCTCTAACTCTAAGAATGCCCCCACGCGCATACATAGGCTGGCCCAGCTCAGGTCCAGACCACTCCCGCAATGCCTCCTGCGGCGTGCTTCAGAGCGCCACCCTCAGAGTGTTTTAGGACTCTTGCAGATTTAGGCTTACGATGGTTTAGGGCTTGCAGTTTAGGGTGTGGTCTATGGTTTAGGGACCGGTGTTGAGTTCATGATGGGTCTGTTACAGCTCCATTCTCTGCAGCTTGCCTTAACCCTGAATAACTTACCTTTTTAGGGTTCCTTATTATGATTTCCTTGAATAAGGCCTTATAAAGGAAGGTTATTCCGGTTCAAGGTGAGGTTTACGGATTGGTGAATACATCGGTGCCTGAATCTTAGAACCAGAGCCAAGCCAAAACTCGCCCTGCTCACCCATGAGTCCGCCGATCTTCAGGGCCTCTGAACGACCAAAGAGTCCTAAGCACCCACATGCCCCACAAGTAATTCTTTTTTGGGATTACCTGATAGAATTCTATACATGCCTATATAGTATAGCAGAATGCAGGGCTACCATGATGATTTGCACAGGTATCCCCTGTAACAATGCCCAACTAAGTACCTAACAACCATATACTATCCCACATAGTAACCTACAAAACTACATTCTTAAACCCAGCTACCTAATTATCAGGTCCCTTGCACCCTTAGAGAATGACCCAAAGCCCGAACCCTTGCCTTGGCTAGGGCTCAGGGTTTGCGGCTTAGGGTGAGGGTTTGGGCTTGAATTTTGTTTTTCTTTAAGCGCCTCTTTTCGAGCTAGCAGGTACGTTTGCTCACCGAAAGGGTTTGGGGGTTTAGGGTTTCGTGGGGCCTGGGAGGTTAGGGTTACGGCGTTACGGATTGAGGGTTTAGGAACACGGTCAAGCTTCTAAGGCCCAAACCCTTAGTCCTCCACCCCAGTGCTTCAGCTTTTTCCGGGACCCGTAGGGCCCTACGTACCTCCATTTCTGGGCCCTTAAATCCTGCATGACCGGGTCCCATTATACACATGGACATCCCCAAAGCATCTTGCCCACCAGGAGAATCAGAGAGCTTAGCAAGTGATGTTAAGTAGGTCAGGTCGGGCTGCACATGACTACCCTAGGGGCCCATACTGCTGATGGACAAAATCCTGCATGACCCTAAGGACTCTAAACTATGGGAACTATGGTATATTCATTATAATGGGTCATAGGGCTCAGAAAACGCCTATCAGCAGGCGATAGCTGTTGCCCCAGTGCACTAGTTGCACGACATTCCGGCTGTAAAAGGCAGCCCGACTTGGCACCGCGCTGCTAGAAAACGGCGGTCGCGTGCCCGCCGTAGAGTCCGTGCGGCGCAATTCCTCAAGCAGCCTCCTTCGAGAGGCGATCTGTGGCTGCTACGAAGCCACGACTCGGCACCAGCTTACCGGTCAGATATGGGCAAGGCAGGAAAGCAACCATGGCAGCCAAACCACGCGGACTACAGCTATCGTGGACAGCGGCCTGCCAAGTAGTGGGGATACTGGCCTGGTGCCTGGTCGCCACAGCAGCCCAAGACCAAGGAAACAGCCTTTCCGCCGTACGATGCGGATTGGCAGCAGGCCCCGGACATCATCGAGATCAGCGAGACCCGTGCACAGCCAGCCGTTGGAACAAAGCCGGGAGGCCTGGTGAGTGGGGTGCAGGCAGCAGTCAACGCTGCAAGACGGGTGGACCAGAAACTCGCCAAGTTGCGACGCGAAGAAGCCCAACGCGATCGGAGCTGGCTTGCTTATGTTGCCAAGTTGCAACATTCCCTCCAACAGGAGAAGAAAAGACACCTGGTGACACAACAACGCATAGCTACGGAAGTTGCCGACTTGGAAATGAAGCAGAAAGCAGCCTACCTACATGTCCAAGATGTAGCAATGCATGGAGGCATTGCTTCCGAATCCTTGCCAGATTTGAGCATGATGGACACGGACAACAGCGAGGACGCCCCACTGAACGAAGCACAGCTCAACCTCGAGCTGGGACGTATCCTGCAGGTTGCACCCACTTTGACATCTGGGCACCGACCGGATGGATTACCAGGGAGAGCTCCAGGTGCGGCTGTCGTTACCCCTCATCGCACTACGGCCACAGCTCCCAGATCTCCTGCTCCATCCGAGTCGACACATCGGACAGGTCCCGGCCCAACAGTCATGCCTTCGCCTACGGTCGAGAAGACGCACCACGATCCCTACATGGCTTCACCCAGCTTGGCACATTTCGGCATTTCAGCACCCGCAGGTCAAGCCTCAGGTGTTCCTGCGGCCCCACCTGCGCCAATACCCACAGGTGCTGCAACTACGAATACAGCACCAGAGATGACGTCCGACGGAGCACACCGGCTCACGGAAAGGCTATCAGAGAAACGGAGGGCCCAACGCAGTGTTCTGGAACCCTTTGGTGGTCCGAGACATCGTGGTCCCGATCGTCCGACCATGGAAGCCCTCGATCTTGCAAGAGCACGGACGACACCGAGGCCACCAAGACCGAACTTTCTAGAAGACGACGACGAGGTCTTCGAAGCAGCTTCGCCAGGACTCAGCCGGCTGGAGTAGCCCAACCAACGCATGCAGCACAGTCGACGGCTTGGTGTCCACCGGACGGTGAGATTGACAGACTCAGGAGCCCATGTGACTTGTGGCCTCGGGGCGAGGCCACTGTCACTCTGTTGTTCCTTGGTCAATGTCCTTCTCATGGTCTCGTGGATACGAGTGCCTCCCGATTGTGCTTACGTGTGATGCTGCACTGCGAGCTCTTGTACAGTTTTGTCTTTTGTACAGATTTCGCGTGCCGGCCGCCTCTACGGCCCTTCTCTTGTCTTTCTTCCATTTCGATCCTTGATTTCGTTGTCCTCGGCCCTCTTCACACCTCCTTGGGCTTTGGAGGTGTTGTGGAACGGCCCCCGCCACAGGAAACATTGCTGATTTTGCGATGTGCACTCGCTGCCAATCCCGTCGCACAATTCAGTCCTCTTTCCTCTGACACATGTTGCCAAGGTGCGGCAGTGGTCATGAGGTTTTCAAAATCTTTGGGAGGGGCGCCTAAAACTCACATCGGTGGCTCTGGGGTGAGTGCCCTTCCCATATCAACAGCCCAGCCTTGTCTGCAAACAGTTGCCTGCCCGGCTCCTTACCGTTGTCCCACTGTCATTCTTCGTTTTGTGGAGTTTGTGGACTTCGAGCCTTTGCATGAAGAGTTGGATCTTTGCGATGCCACACTGGCATATGACCCGGCTCATCCCAATGCAGCCACAACATCTCCGCTTCGTGAGTACCTAAGAGGAGCATCGGTGGTTCTGGGGCGCCCACCACGAACGGAGATAGTTGCATTCACACGCCTGTCACAAACACAGCTCTGTGCCGAGCCTTCCTCCACATCGCGTCATTTCCCAAGGCTGCTTCTTGCCCTGGGACTTTGGCTTGCAGCTCTTGCGCGCAGTTGGTGGATGCTACTCACGATCGGCCTTCTCCAGCTTTGGATGCATGCTCTGAGCAAACAGTTTCCGGTCCTACGCAGACTGCGCACACTGCCATGCCTGGACGCAAAGCCAATTACGGTTCTCCCCCTAGGCAAGATAGGTAGCGGTCAGCCTATTTTAGCTTGGATGCCCACGTACCGTGACAAAGGCAAGCCACGTCCTGCACCTCGGTATCATGTCAGTCGTTGGCTGCGATTCTGTGCCTTTCTTTGGGCATGCCTCAGCATACCATCCCCAGCCGAGGCTACACCCTTTCCACTCCTTCCAGCTGTTTGGCTTGTCAACGACTTTGGTAGAGTCATGTCATCCTCAGAGCCTCCTGATGACCTACCCCAGTTAGCACCCGATGAAAGCAACACAGAAGCTGCAGCTAATAGTCA